CACTCCCAGCTTCTTGTGTATCTCCAGCCGTCTCAGTCAGTAGAGCATGGGAAGCAGAAAAGGCCTTGACTCTGTGTAAACACTTCTCAGCAATAACGAAAACATCTCTATGTTATCAACACTGTTTTCAGCACAAATCCAAAACATAGCCCCATACTAGCTACTACGAACACAATTAACCTATCCCAGTGAAGATCAGCACACCTACAAGAAATGAGAGCCATCTGAAGGTATCCCTCATCCTGAGATGATGTGTTGTGTTTTCCTCTCTCATAAGACATGTTTGTCATTATGTGCATTCTGTGTAGATACACGATCTGGCAACTGTTACCTGGACATTAAAACTCGTGGAGATAATGGTGGCACCTTCTGCAGCAATGAGATCGGAGTAGGTGTTTCCAAGGCCTCCTGTTGCTGCTCCCTGGGCAAAGCTTGGGGAGTTCCCTGTGAACATTGCCCACTTGTGAACACAAGTAAGTTAGCTTTCCTGGGTTAAACACAACAATGCAATGTGTTTGTTGGATTTTTTTCTAATTTAGCCAGGTAACTCAAATACCGGTGTAATTATTTATTGTGTACATGCAGGGGACAGGTTTCCACCGGTCTTAACCAAAAACTTTACTAGTCTTTCAAAAACATTAATTAGTCAGAATATTATTATCACTTCTGAGCAAGTTTGATATTACACAAGAAACTACATTATGAAATGGAATAGTGTTTGATGTTACAGAGTAAAACCTAACGCTTATGTATGGTTACTTTGTTACTTTACATTTAAATTGCCTGTAATAATCTGATGAATTTTCAAAAATAATTGTGCTGAAAATGTTTCTACTATTGTAAGTTCATAAATCTATTGTGTTTTCAGCTGAGTATAAGGTCCTTTGCCCTGGAGGGGAAGGATTCCGACCAAACCCTATTACAGTTATATTAGAGGGTAATGTTTACATTTTTCTATATTTACACATCTAAAATTATGAAACTCTTCAGTGAGTGTTGTTTTTCATGGAAAAGCATGAATGAAATGTTTGTGGTTTTGTTTGAACAGATATTGATGAATGTCAAGAACTGCCTGGACTTTGCCAAGGAGGAAAATGTATTAATACATTTGGTAGCTTCCAGTGTCAGTGTCCATCAGGGTACTATTTGAATGAAGAGACTCGAGTGTGTGATGGTGCGTAGCCTTCATTTAACTAGTCTTCTGCTTTTATTCTTAGAAAATTATGACAGATCAATATGTAGAAGAATTAATCTGTCCTTGAAAAGGAACATAACCGGATCAAGCAGTGTAAAGATTAAGGGTGGGAAAATTGGAAGAAGTTGAAGTCTTGCATTGAGAGAGAAAAATTCCTTCTTGGCCATGTTGAAATATATGCAAATTTTTGTTTAAAATGATCAGATTTTCATCAAAACCAGAAAACCCAACAATTTTTCTTTAAGTAAAACATAATTTACTACCAGCTATAAAAAAATAGCTGTTTGGTAATGGAGAATAAACAGTCAGATAAAGAGCAAACTTACCCCACAAGTCTGCTGGCTGGTTACAGTGTGTCCATGCCTTTTTTCCACTGCTTATTTTCTTTCCTGCTATCTCAATATCCAGTTGAAGATATTGGTTGCACTGCAAAACATTTTCCGTCCCCTAGCACAGTCAGTAATACATGTTCATCACATTACATTAAACTGTCAGGTTGTATTGGATATGAAACTTTAAGCAACTCATCAAGTCCTTAAATTTCCCATTGCCCAGGCTGTCTTCAGCCTTCCAGACTGTTAATAATGTTAATACAGTGCCTATGATGTGCCAAGCACTGCAGAAATACAAAAGATTCAGGTCCTAAATTAAGGCTGAACCAAAGTGCTTCATCCACATTGTGCTTACATAGCTCAACAAATGTTAAAGAGGAAATCTACCTCTATGTTTTTCCTCAGTGGTGTGTCAAAGATACTTTAAAATGGTAAGGCTAGTGAAATACGTTTGAACTTTTAGGAACTGCAGTGTTTTGGGGGAGGTGTTGTGTTTGGATTTGGTTGGGGTTTGTCGTGGTTTAACCCCAGCCGGCAACTAAGCACCACACAGCCGCTCACTCACTCCCCCCTGGTGGGATGGGGGAAAGACTCGGAAGAGTAAAAGTGAGAAAACTCGAGGTTGAGATAAAGGCAGTTTAATAGGTAAAGCAAAAGCTGCACACGCAAGCAAGGAAAACAAGGAATTCATTCACTGATTCCCATCGGCAGGCCGGTGTTCAGCCATCTCCAGGAAAGCAGGACTCCGTCACGCCTAACGGTTACTTGGGAAGACAAACGCCATTACTCCAAACGTCCTCGCTTCCTTCTTCTTCCCCCAGCTTTATATGCTGAGCATGATGTCATATGGTGTGGAATACCCTATTGGCCAGTTGGGTTAGCTGTCCTGGCTGTGCTCCCTCCCAGCTTCTTGTGCACCTGGCAAAGCATGGGAAGCTGAAAAGTCCTTGATTAGCGTAAGCACTACTTAGCAACAACTAAAACATCAGTGTGTTATCAACATTATTCTCATACTAAATCCAAAACACAGCGCTATACCAACTACTAGGAAAAAAATTAGCTCTATCCCAGCTGAAACCAGACAGGGTTTTTTAAACAAATGTTAAAGTCTCTTGATGAAGTAAACATGATATCTTGTGTTGGGAAAGTTGCTCACTTTCCCCAGTCAAACAGACCTGAACCATCCAATCAGTCTGTTTTGGCATCATTACTTACTGAGTTGGGCACTCCACAGGGAACATCTTTGGCTCTTGTCCAGGTCTGGGAATCCAGAATGGATGAGATCCTCAATCCTATTTTTGTGCAATAGGTGCAAAAACCAAATTGCTGTCTCTGAGCTGCCTAGACATATCAGAGTTCCCATCTTCGCGTCACAGCCAGGCTTTCCATGGCCACCTGTGCCACCACTTCCTTCTCTGTATGGGCTTCACTCCACCATGACCTCACTCAGAGCCCCTTCAGCTCTCCTCCACCAGTACCTTCCTACCTGAGTGTTACTGAGACATTTTCGTTCTCAGAAGCACAATGCGAAAGCTTCTTTGGCCGCTCACTGCCTTTTTGTTCTCTTCTAGATGTGAATGAGTGTGATACACCTGGCATATGTGGACCTGGCACATGTTACAATACTGTTGGGAACTACACCTGCATCTGTCCTCCTGATTACATGCAAGTCAATGGAGGAAACAACTGCATGGGTACGGGTTGTTTTTTTTTCTAAAGCTTTATCTTAGTGCTTTGGGCTAGGGCTTTACCGGGCACAACTCAGAACTATTTCTCTGAATTTAATTATACAAGAATTAACTGAATGAAATATAAAGCTTCTTTCATTAATTTTATTAAATAAAGCAAGGCAGATCACTTTTAATACAGATCTTTCGGTATCTCATCAGAACATCTCCTTTAATTTGATATTTTCTATGTTCATCCCTTCCAAGTTTCACTTCAGCTTTAAAAGCTTCTACACGTGAAACACTACTAAAATTACTCAGACTTCACAGAATGAAGTCACAAGCTGTGTACAGTTCTTAAGGGGAACCATAAACAAACTGATGTTTTTTCAGTGTTGGGCAAAAGGCCAATATTAAATCCTTTGAGTCTATAGTGTTACAGCCGTGTTGGTTGCTCTTGAATATTTGTATTGCAAACACTTTTTCATATTTTTAGAGTAATCTTCTAGGGACAAGCTGTTCTGTATTCTGCAGTGCTGCAGCATCTACTTGACAGGGGTTTAAAAAGTACATTATTTGAAGGAGGTATCTCCTAAACCCTTCAGGTACATCATCTTCCATAAGAGTTGCTAATGGATTGGCCTGGGTTTTTCATTTTCACAGATATGAGAAGAAGTCTGTGTTACAGAAATTACTATGCTGACAATCAAACCTGTGATGGTGAGCTGCTCTTTAATATGACCAAGAAAATGTGCTGCTGTTCCTACAACATTGGACGTGCGTGGAACAAACCTTGTGAACAGTGTCCTATCCCAAGCACCGGTACGTTTTTGCATTGCAAAGCTATTTGAAAGCCTTGGTAACATCATATTTACTATTAGTGGATGTAACATTGTTAGAGATGCTATGTCTTTGTCTGCTCTTGTGTGTCTTCATTCATCTAAATGAAGGGATTAATTACTTTTTTGTCCTGAAGGTGATCAGTCCTAGTCACAGTGAAGGCATACGTGCAGTGCTTTGTGTTCACGCTGCTGGGCCATGCCTCCTTTGTGACAGTTTCCCTGTCTGGGAGACTTCATGCTCTATATTGGTTAATCTGTCTCTTCGCAAATGCTTGTTGATCCAGTGTTGAGGCACTGACCAAGGTTTTATTGGCATTGCTCCAACAAATATGGTGTCTGCTGTGCTGTGCCTCGACTGCTGATTGCCACAAAGGGCATTTGTGGTAGCCATGGGTTTACAGAGGTACCTTGGTCTCCTCTGAGAACGATTTGTGTCAAGCAGCTAAATGTAAGATGTGGGAGTTTTCTGGGCTAACTGTATGGGCATACAGGACTCTTCCACACTGGGTAAGGCTCTGCAGAGTTGATCCCACTCTGGTTCGAGGTGGTTTGCTTAAAGAACAAACTTCCTAGACGCTTATTTGCATAACTTGCAACTTACAGTTAAGGTTTTTAAAAATCAGATCTGGACTGTAATGCACAGCATATGCAAAGCAAAATCAGCATGTGATCTCAAGCCCCCTACATCTTTTTATTTGCTAATTTCAATGGCCTTTGAATGAGAACCCAAGCGCATACTAAGCGCACCACATCGTGAGCCTCGGGGAAGAGTCTGCATACCTCTGTGTGCCCTGCAGGTACTGAAAGAAGTAGAAGAAGAATTTTCTTGGGCAAAGGATGTAATGAATTTTTGACTGTTGATTAACTCTAAATACTATAATGGCTGCTTTGTTTTCCTGTTGCAGATGAATTCTCCACACTCTGTGGAAGTCAAAGGCCTGGCTTCTTCATTGACATTTATACAGGATTACCAGTTGGTGAGTTGTAATTTCTGTTTTGAACTAAATTCCATGCTACCTCTGCCCAGGGAAGAGGTTTGTTTTCCCAATTATTTTTTTCATGAGAGGAATAACAACTAAACATTGTAATGGAGTTCAACCCTCCTTTAAGTCTGAGCCTGCAAACTTTCTGCCTAGCTCCTCCTAGCTGGCAGCAATGATAATTGCTGCTTGTAATCAAGGCAACATAAAGCTCCAAAGAAACTGTAATCAGGCTTACATGAGCAGGGCACAGATACTGAGAATAAGAGGTCTGGGAGTAAGGCCAACCGGCATTTGGTCTGAAAGAAATTAGGATTCTTTCCTTTAGACTAAAGCATAGATTTAATCTGACATTTCACATCAGTCCCCCTGTGTATTGGTTTGACACAAAAATCCTTTTTTTCTGCTCAGCTGGAATATTTCTCACATATGTTATTGTGTGTAACATTTGAATCGTGAGTAACAAATTGCAAAACAAAAAGAGGGAGAGAATGAGGAATTCTAAGACAAGGAGTTGAGTAAATCCCTAGTGGTTCTCCCTTTTGTTTTTATTCACACAAAAATGCAAATAAAAAGCAGATAATGTGCCCTCTAACAAACAGAGGCAGCATATAGGCAGTAATCAGGTGCTTTAGCATTAAGCTATTGTTGTGATGCAGTGTTCAGCTAGTTAGATGGAAATATTTCTAGTAAAGTGGGGAATGTAATTTTTAAAGAAGTTACAGAAATGTACAGTATTTATTATTTACCAACTCATTTCTTAGAAGCAAAGTTCCCCCTTCTAGCTATTAGCATTAGCCCAAATTGTTGCCGAGTCTACTCGAGCTAATTGGGCCATTCATCAGCATCAGCAGGGAGACCTTGGATCATGCTAACATGCATAGGTAAAAGCTGCATCTGTAGCAGCTGATGTGCATGCCAGGAGTCTGCAGTCTGCTCTGTCTGCCCTGCCATGTCGTAGAGCAATGCACATTCAGAAGGGCTGAATGCACTGAAACAGAAGGGCTGTCCCAAAGAGGCCACCAGTACATCCCAATGCATGCAACACTGTGGTGAGGCTAATGCACACACAGCTTTACACTGTGAGAATCACAGGCTTTCCTTGCTGCTTTGGGATCTTGGCAGGTCTCACTAGGTTGTAGCACTCAACTTGCTGCTTTTGCACAGCAGCTGCTCATGTCCCTTTTATCTGTAGGCACAAGGCATGCAATAAGGTAGTGCCCACTCTGCCGAGACAGTGCTCTGTGTACCCTGTAATATTTGGTTACAGTCCTTACATGATGTTACCCTTCTGTTTGGATTAAAGTTCTATATATTTTACTCCAGGTGGTTGTTTCAGAGGTAGAAGTAGTTCTACTTTTACTCATCCCTTATAGAATCAGAGGACTCAAAATTACAGAATCTAATATAGGATATAAAGAGTTTGATCGAGCAGCAAAATAAAAAAAAAAAACATTATCTGATGGAAACGTTTCAATGATAATTTCCCACCATATTCCTTGTCCTGTGTACATCAGTGCATGTGGCAATTTTTACTAAAGGGAGAGGCTTTGCGCTAATCTCTGAACTCTTTCATGTTGTCAGAATATTAAAGATGTGTAACTTAAGGATCCTATAGGCTAGACACATATAATTGTAATAGCAGCTGTTTTTTTTCCAAAATCAGTTGCTTAACCCAGGTGTGTATAGAACATTGGCAAACCCTGACTGCCTGGCTTAATCAATCTAATTAATAGCATGTTGGCAGCCAGATGTTACCTGGTGTTAGCACTTTCAAATTGTTACATAAAAACATGAAAGTCTTTTCAGGTTAACAAGGGTAAAACAGTGCAAAACTAATTCGGACAAGTGTTTGCCTTTGGTCATGCTCTCCTGTATTAAACCAAGGACAGTTACATTCTCTGTTTGGCTCTTCCCAATAACTCCACTGCAACACTCAGAAAGATGAGGAGGTTCATCAGGGCTGTGAGTGGGAGACATGAGGAAGGACGTGTTCTACCCTCTGCATTCCTACATGGCAGGATATATCCTGGCTACAGTGAAGAGTCAGAACCTGAGGAAATAGGAAATATCTACATTTCCACAGTTTGGAGTGACTCACTGTCTATTGCAGCTGGGAACATTCTGATGCTCATGTTAGATGTTTGATAATTCTCTTAAAGATAAATGCATTCTGTAGCAGAATTCATGAAGTGCTGTTTACAAGTATTTAAAAGGATTTCTTCTTGCAGATATTGATGAATGCAGAGAAATTCCTGGAGTGTGTGAAAATGGGATCTGTATAAACATGGTTGGCAGCTTCCGATGCGAGTGTCCTGTGGGTTTCTTCTACAACGACAAGCTACTGATCTGCGAAGGTAGAGCGCTGATCTCATTCAGAGAAATGGGATTTCACCAGCTGGCAATTCAGACACTGGCAAATCTGATATACTTACAAGTCATCCTTAATGAGGGGAAAATATTGGTATCAGTATAATAAGTCTATGTTAATTAAGACATTTTGAATTCTTTTGCACAGAAAATACCAGATTTTCCATCAGACATCTAAGGCCTTGAAGGAGCATGAGTCAGCAGTCATGGGAAGAAACATTGTTTTTCACATTTGACAGTGAAGCCAAGAAAAGAGTAGTAGTCTTGAGTCAGATCATGAGCGCATTTTTTTTTTTAATTCCAAGATATTTTTTTCTAATGGAACAAAGATTTCTGTAAATAATATAACACATGATAATTCTTTTCCAATTTAGACATTTCCTAACATTGTATTAGTCAGTTTAATGGAGAAACTGAAGACAGCAGTATGAGTTGCTGTCATTCTCTGGTGAGGGTTATGACTGCTGACAACATGGGTGCTGCAAGCAAGGCATTGAGAGCTTCAAGTAAAAGCATCTTTGTATGCTGCTTCTAACTGAAACACAGTTACGTTTCTAGGGAAATAAAGTTCTCTTTTTGCAGCAGCTAAAGTAAGGAAAATTGGTCAAAATTTTTTTGCCTAAAATTTTGTGGTGGTGTTTACATTGAAAGCTACTAATATCCAACAGGGATCTTGATGCTGTGTTATGATCAAGGGAGATCCTCATAGTCTCCGGTGGAGATCTATGCAGACATAGCAGCTTACTTATTCTGATCGCAGTCTTAAGACTGAAATCCACCCGAGTGAAGCGTTGCAACAGGCCTTTCATGCGCCCTCCAATACCTTCAGAAAACCATTATATAAATTCTCTAAATAGGAATGATTTTTACAAATAGAGCATGTGGGTTTGGGATCATTTCAAGGAGATACCTAAATGTGGTAGGTATCATGGAGATACCTAATTACTTTCATCAATATATTTATTTTTTCAGAATTAGAAAGAAATTCCTATATTTGGGTAAGGTAATACTCTCTATACTAAAAACAAAGTGGTTTTGATGTCTTTCTAGTACTAGCTTACCATATCAATCAAATTCCTTTTTTGTATTGACAGATATTGATGAATGCCAAAATGGACCAGTGTGTCAGCAAAATGCAGAATGTGTCAACACAGCTGGTAGCTACCGTTGTGATTGTAAACCTGGCTACAGGTTCACATCAACTGGCCGCTGCACTGGTGAGTACTTGTGGCTTGTTTGTGAGAGAGTCTGCAAAAAGTAGTAGATTTTAAAAGAAGTCTAAAAAAGCATATCTCTTCTTCAGAAAGATGGTATACCAGGAGATGATCTGGGCTCCAAGAACCCTCCTCCTAAAGCCTTTTAGGGCATCGCATAAACATTCTGGTAGTTCCCAGAAGACTAATGGGCCCATCCCACAGAGGAATAAATGAGAGTTAATCACCTGAGTAGGTGTTTGTTATCCACTTTATCCTACCAACCACAAACATTTTTCTTTCGCCCATGTCATGTCTAGGGAGGAAAGACCAATTGATTCACTACCTTTTAACTATTTTCTGACACTAAAAATTCAGTTGCAGTCCTGACAGAGACCTTCCTCTGCACAAATTCTTTGATTTTCATTATAATTTGCTAGATGTGTTTTAACAATTTATTTGCCACTTGTATTTTTACAAATAAATCGCTGCTTGCTGGGATCTCTGCTGATAAGGTGGGCTTATCTGCTAGGCCATATGCAATAACTAACTTAAAAAGCTTATTGTTAAACTTCCTAACTTTTCTGTGAATTTAAACAGGCCCCTGAACATTATTTTTAAATACTCACTGACTGGGACTGCAGTTCTCTAATGTATTTGCTCTGTCTTCTAATATTGTAGTCCAGAGAGGCATTCATGTTATCTTGATTACTTGAAGAATTGCAGACATTTTAAAGACTGCTGTGAGCCAAGCAGCTGTAAATATTATATACATTTCTGAATAAAATAATAATTACAATGGAAAGTGGTAACATTTTCCTTGGGTTTTTGCTTCTGAGTACTTGAGCTTTAGGAAGTGTACTTTTCCCTGTAGTGCAGTTTTTCATTGTTTCATGTGACCCTTAAGGGAAAAGGGTGTAGGGGCAACCAGAACACTACTATGAGAACCAAAACTTTGTTTTGTTAAGCTATACAGTGGTACATGTAAATATTGAATATGTTCCTAACGTAATTGTTGTTGTTATGGGTTCGTTACAACAGTACAGGAAAAGCCAGGGAAGATTCTGATATGGGTTACAATACACAACATGATTTGGCACAAACAGTAATACTTCCCTGTATTTTGCTCTTATTTTATATTTAGTGAAAATAAAGTTACACAATTAGAATCAAAATAAAAGTGGTTGATAAAGTGCTTGATCCAGCAAAGGAAGGAAATTCCCAACTGCTCTGCTGAGAGCAAAGAGTGCGAAGCACCTTGCAGTATTGGATCAGTCATGCTACTGCATGGAAAATGATCACATCCCAGTAGTTTATACGCTATTGAATCAAAACTGATGTATCACAGCCACTAGTACTATGAGGAGTACCGCATTTATCTTACTATCAAAATAGCATTCTTCTGATGCTATCTATTGTGGTATAATAAATAATTTTTCATATAAACTCATTTTTGGCACTTAAGACAATTCTGCGTCCCAATTTTTTAAAAAGTTACAATGTTCTGTGTTTACCCCAAAAGAAGTGACTTTCCCTGGGACTTTAATTCACGGTTCATTTGCCCACAGAGCGCCAAAGAGAGTCACAGTTTTTCTTTCGTCTCTACTCTCCTGAGCTGAGAAGATTAGGAGTTCTTAAGGCAGCATGTTGTCCAGCATTGGTTTCCTTTCTTCCTCCTTTAGACTCTAATTAGCATTGGTCCTCAGTGAACACCCATCCAAAGTTACTAATGGCCCTAGTTGATGTACCGTAATCCTGGGAACGCTGGCTGTTGGGATTGTCTGTGTGCTAAGTAGAGTGTAGAGAAGATTTAGTACATGAAGTTCTTTGCAATTAGGAACAGCTTGACTCTCGGTTTTGCAATGAACTGGGGATGGTTTTGGTAAGAAACTGCATCTGCTTTGCTTAGATTGCATGTAAAAGAAAATTACTGAACACTAAAATCTAATCGATTCTAATACAAGCTTATGGCAGCACCTCAGCTCTCGTATTTTGGAGCTGCAGCAGACAAAATGCCAGGAAGCATACTGAATCAGACCAGCTCTTGTTGGTGAAGAGGTAACTTCTTGCTGTTTGAGCTTTGTGCTGTTTACAAGATCATCACATTGCATGAGGCGTAGATGTTACAACACATATGTATACATGTACCCATTTTATCTCTGCCCAATGAGTAGATAAGTCTACAGTGCATTTTTTCTCTCTGTAAGCTTAGGGGAAAAAAGTGTGGGATTCATCTCCCTTTCTGTTTTGTATGATTTCTGTGAGTTAATCAAGCAATTTGTGCTGTAATCAAACGTAACTAAAAGCAAGTAGTTGCTTTCATGAGAAGGATACAAACTGTGATTTATATGTGGCTTTCATATCTGCTGCGTAGTCAATGTAAAGCACTCAGAAATCTCCCCATACAATTTCATGTCATTAATTCTGCTTTTCAAAGCCATGGCGATATGCTTTCCCTCCAGCAAGAATTTGTGTTTGGTAAATACAATTTTTACGCTAAATTTTTTTCAGCTCCACAAATGTTGGAAAAGGTAATTTGCAAGCAAATAGCCCCTTTTCTGATATTTACTTGGTAATGCTTTTATCATTAATAAATTAAAAATACTATTTTAATACTGGATTCCAACTATCATGGTTGCTGCTAATGCATCTTTCCAGCCCTGTAGTTTAGAGGCCTTAACTTTCACTGTGCGTCTTTTTTTTCAGATCGGAATGAATGTCAAGAAATTCCCAATATCTGCAGTCACGGGCAGTGTATTGACACTGTTGGAAGTTTCTACTGCATTTGTCACAATGGATTCAAGACCAATGATGACAGAACAATGTGTATAGGCAAGTATATCAAATAAAGCTGTTCTTAGGCTTCCATTAAGATAGTTATTAAGTCTATCCTCTCCTCATAAGGAGTTGCATTACAAGCACTGAGATTGTGAGCTGTTTACCACCAGGCAAAGGTGCAAAACCACCATAGCTGGCAATTAGGAAGCTGATAATGAATAAGAACATCTCATTACAGTGGAGTGAACCTTTAAAATATCCTATCTAATGAACTGCTAATGCTTTCATTTTTCAGGAAAATGTTCCATTCTTAGAATTTTCTGAAGCATTTTGTCTCATTTATTCCTTTAGGCGAGAAATTTAATAGATTAATATTGCCATGCAGCAATTGTGTACAGCCTACTTGTTAACAGAGTAAGTGAAGGGTGGATTTCTTTCCAGAAAAGTGCGCTTTTCAGAAACAGTCATCTTCATAAAGAAGGAAATTCTGTGTTTAACCTGTTCACAGCTGTTAGTGTAGTGTCTGTTGTCTGCGCAAGATGAGATTTCACAATGCTTGTGATTAAAGATAGCTTAGAATTCCTTTGGGAAGGGTGAGATAGGAGCCACAGTAAGATAAATGATTGCTGGACCCTTGATTATTTCTGTAGATATTAATATCAAGTGTATAAACCTGTGTAAAATCTTCTTTTTGGGAGATAAAACAATCTTTTTCCCTTCTATTCACTCTGTTGGCAATGGATTATTTCTTTTGCCTGTGGGATAGCTACAGACTTTCCTTTCCCCATCAGCGATTAAAATTCTTGCTGCTTGTTTTTTCTCCTTTGTAGATATTAACGAGTGTGAGAGAGACGCCTGCGGCAATGGAACCTGCAGAAACACCATTGGCTCTTTCAACTGCCGCTGCAATTTGGGGTTCATCCTCTCACACAACAATGACTGCATAGGTAAGAAGTACTGAGCCCAGTTATGTGTTTCTAAGACTTTCTTCTTCTAATGAAAGTATCATTAGTACCATAGTCTCTATTGGGTTAGGATCACACCTTGCATGGTCTGCATGATTAAAGACAAAAACCGATTTCTTCACTCTGAAAAGGCCTCTTTGATTATGCACTCCTCACTTTTCTATAGCCACTGAAATGTTTGTATGTGATACATGCCATTGCTTTTTTTGCTCTTGCTTTGACAATTTTACAACATAGACCCACATTGGTATTTTCCCCTCACTTGCTTTTGAAACAGGGGATTATTTACGTATTATCAGTTACTGTGCCGATATAGTGGAAACAGAAATCTCACCTACCCAATTTCACGTGCTGCAGGTGTTTGTTATATATCTTTCAATGTTATTTTTATTAGATGTGGACGAATGTGCAAGTGGAAATGGAATGCTCTGCAGGAATGGTCAGTGTGTGAACACGATCGGGTCCTTCCAGTGTCTTTGCAATGATGGCTATGAGGTGGCTCTGGATGGAAGGACTTGTGTTGGTGAGTGTTTTCTTTTAGGGTAGAAAAAAGTGCAGCAAACCTTGAGGAGATACTCTTAGTAAAACAGTAGAAGAGGTCAGAGAAAACTATCACACTGTCATCATTGTACCTAACAGAAGAAAACAATGACAAGAGGATGAGAAGAGGGCTCTTCTCTTGCTCCTGGGAAGTTCCACCATCAGTTTGATGGAATCAAAATTAAAGCAGCCTCAGCCACAGATGTATTGAGATAACAGCAATTATCTCAAATAAATTGTCTTTCTTTTCTTTTAGATGTCAATGAGTGTGCACTGGAGCCTGGAAAATGCTCACCAGGCACATGTCAGAATTTGGATGGATCATTCAGATGTATCTGTCCTCCTGGATACGTCCTGCAGAATGACAAATGTGAAGGTGTGTATAAAACAATCCTTCTTCTGTCCTGTTTCCTAGCTACTCACAGTTGTTACTACTTTCCTCTGCATCTAAACATGAGCACAGTCTTTTGTGACAGTGTACAGTTCTGAACTGTAGCCACTAGCAAGTCACTCACTCCCCAGAAAAAGTTTCACCAACTTTTGTTTGAACCAGAACTACCTGATCTGATCCCAAGAAAAATCTAATCCCAGGCTGTTTGGTTGATGGTACATTGCTGAGGTTTGCCCACTGCATGAGGATTTGAAAATTAACCCTAGATTTTGCACCTGGATTTCTTGTTCCTCTTTCTGTCTGTTTCTTTTTGTTTGACCTTTTTGTTTTTCAAATCTGTTAGATATCAGTGATGATGTAAGGTTACATTTTATGTAGTACAGCTGCCAGGTAGACATTTTTATTTCTCATCTCTTTAATTACTTTTCTTGCAGACATTGATGAGTGTGTGGAACAACCAGAAATTTGTGCCCTGGGCACATGCAGCAACACTCCAGGCAGTTTCAAATGTCTGTGTCCAGAAGGCTTTGTGTTGTCTTCCACAGGAAGGCGATGCCAAGGTAAGTTCATTCCTATTTTCTGGCATTTCAAAATTTGTTTGCTGTTTTATAAAAGCCTATTAGCTGCCTGTTTCTAATATAATGAGGAGACTCTGGACTCAAACAGTGTTTTTTCACAAGGAAAACATGATAATTCTGTAGTTGGGGCCAGGTTCTCTCTTGCCCTAGCATCTGTTTGTCATTAAAGAGAACATTGCAATAAAAGGGGCGAAGATAATGTTAAATGCACCAGGTTAAGTGAGGAAATTGTGTTGCCCTGCAGCCCTTTCTTGCACCCCTGGAAGAAATGTTGAGGCTACCTGGACCCTGTATAGACTGTGACATGTCTGTTATGGAGATGGAACACGAACACAGGCAGGAGACTACTGCAATACACTGCTAAAGGCAGCATTTCCAGGAATAAGGCTGTTCTTAGCACTTATCAATTTCTCCATAATACTTGTTATATGCTATTCCTCTCCACAGATGTGTGGGTGGAGAAAAGATTGATGGAAAAAATTTGCAAACAGTGTTGTATGGACAATAAGTACCTATCTGCTTAGAAAAGTCTGAAGCGTCTTTTGGCCTCTAGATTACTGCATACACTGTTCAGAGCCTAAACGTGGGCACTAAGACAGAGATCAGATGCTAAAAGCTGAACATCTAGTAATGAAAAGCCACAGGTTAGTTTATTTTGTGGATAAAGAACAAGCACAGCAAATTAGGGAGTGAGTTATTTTAAAGACTTTGGAAATTATTAAATAGGTACATCATTACATGTCCTATACACAGTGTGCACAGTGGGAACCACTGATGAGTAAGACCTTTATAAGGACCTCTGTAGTTATGCTTGGCAGAGAACGGTGATGCTTGTTGACACCATAGTGAGTTCTTCACTTCACAGTGGGCTAAATGAAACTGTGGTTTTGGTAAAAATGAATCCAACCTGCAGTAAACATTCATCCCAGTCTCCAAACCACCATGCAGTTTGGCACAGTTACTTCACTCAACTTCAAGAAAGCAGCATGGCTGTTTTAGCTGTGCTTTTCTAGCTTATATAAATGAGGTTTCTTCAGCCTGAGAGTATTATTCTCTTCAGGTAAGGAAAAAAAAATCACAAAAAACCCCAAGAAACAAAAGCATTAAAAAAATTGCAGCCTAATCTTCTCCTTTATAAAAACAGACCACTGTTTCACACATAATGTCAGAGGAAAACGCACACTTGTGTGTATGAACTTTAAGTGTGCTTCTCCCCATCCCCTGAAGAAGACTGTTTGTTTTCAAGTATCTCAGGCCAAACAAAGTTTTCTTTAAAACTTCCCATTACCTAGGACTTTCGTAAAATCTGGACATTGCCCAGCATTGATGCTGCAGCCGGAAAACTGGATGAGCAGCTGCTTCCACAACTGCCCTGTTGCTGTCCCCCTGCCAACGCAGGGAGCTGCCAGCTCTCTGCCTGCTGGATGCTTGTGGTCTATGATCTCAGCTCTGCTCCAGCATCCTGGTTACCCAGCTTAAGGGAGTAAAATGTCGTGCCACTGGGCCAGTTTTCCTTGTTCGTGTGTACCTCAGGGAGGAATGAGGAAGGAAAGCGCTATTGAAAATTGCCTCTCATTTTAACGCTACACAGTATTATCATTGCAAGTTGATTAAAATCACTTGACTCAAGTGATTCGTACTAGTAATGGAATATAAATAAATTAAGCCAATATTCAGTTTTTACAAAGGGGAGTGAGGATAAGAGGGGAGTACAGCCCTTCCAGCTCTGATGGACAAAATAGAGAAACCCCTCCTTTTCCATGACTGAAGTAGGACACTCTATCCCATAGCTTTGCTTTACTGCAGTAGAGAGCTCCCCTCCCTCTTCAGATCTTCCCCAGTCAGAGACAATAATGGTCCTTCTTGATACACTCAGATGGAAGTTGGGTATTTTGTTGGGGGCGGGGGGGCCCTGTAATTTTGCTGTTAACACCTCTAAGTGAAAACTGTGCCAAAGTAACCCTAACTGCTCATAACAAATTCTTCTCTACGCAGATCTGAGAGTAAGTTACTGCTTTACCAAATTTGAAGATGGAAAATGTTCTGTGCCGAAGTCCCGAAACCACTCCAAACAAGAGTGTTGCTGCGCCTTGAAGGGACAGGGATGGGGAGATCCCTGTGAACTCTGCCCAGAGGAAGCAGATGGTGCGTATTGACTAGGTTACCTTACGGTCATGATAGCCTCTCAGAACTGAAAGAAGATTGGGATTCTTGTAAGAAGGAATTAGGAAAAATAATTTTCCAGAGGTGTTTAACCCTAACAATTGTCATTGCTCTCTGTAAAGTAGATGCCATTGCAGTCTCAAAAAACATATTCCTTGCATAGTCCTGTCTCAAGCATATTCTTTGTTTGCTTATAGGTTTGTTAGTATGATTAGGTGCTGAGTAGTTTGCTCTGGAGGTGTCACATGCTGAAAGCAGAAAGTAGTAGGTCCTTGATAGGCTCTGAGTGGAAGTACCTGCAAGACGCAAATGGAATTCATCTAATTGTAAACAAGAAGGGGCACCATAAATACGAAATCCAATTTAAAAAAAAAAAAACCAACAGTCAAGTTATATCCATATCTGAATCACCCCGTTACATTTTGCGACTACATTTTGTTAGTAAAAAAATGTAAATTTGCAATCTTATCAATATGAATGACTTGCAAAGCTAGCAGGGAATGACAAAACACAGGCCTTGATGAGGGAAAACCTCCCTGGACTGTTGCGAAAGAAACACTTTCCTTTGTTAGTATCCTTTGTAAGACTGTGTAACTAGGCATCAAGCAAGTCAACAGACCTCTGTACCATCATGGTGCAATTTGCTGAACCAACTTTAATTCATGCTGACAAATGTGGTTAACAGCATTACTGGTTTCAGCAATACATTAATACAGTTCATTTCATTAATAAGTCATGTAGATGTTTTGCAGACAATCCTCGCAAAAGCCAAGGGAAGAAAAGAGAATCAGATGTGCCAGTTGCAATATTCCTCCTAGGCTTATTGCCTGTGCATGTTTCATTCCATTGCCCCGGAGCATTTGAACGAAAGTCAGTTGGAAAAGCATGGTATACATCACAGCATTTCCTTGAAGTGTCAGCACATATATTTTTCACAGTCCAAACTGTTCTCAAAGGGTGATATCAAGGCCATTTTTCTCATCTTTTAAAAAAGAAGTAGCTTTAAGATATCTGAGTCTGGGAAATGTATGTCTTGGCATGTCATGGACAGTGGAATTGTTTCTTTTTTAAAAAAAAAATACTCGGTTGTCATCTCACGCATGTTCTCCATCGTCTGCTATCTGAATGCAGGCTGGTAAGCTCAAGCAACATGTGCCACCTGAGTCTCCTTCTGAAGGCTTGAGCAGGTAGGTTTTGTGCTGCCCAGCTGCACAGGGCTGAGTTTCCCACTCAGAGCCTAGCAGTGTGCCAGACACTTTGTTGCTTTCAGTGCAGGTGTGCATCTACATTTAGTTCTATTTTGTTCAACCTCAGCAAAGATCAGCTAATGTATTTCAAATAAAGAAAGTGTGATATTTGTTATGTCTATGATTGTAATGTACTGCTGCACTGTAAACCTCTTTGCAGCCTACTGAATTTGCAAAAGAAAAGGTGAAATCTTGTTAAGAGTTCTGTGATGTTCTGAGCATGGTTAGTAGAGAATATGCTCAGCAGCATCTTGAGATTGTTTGAATTACAGTCCTGTGTCCATCCATCTGCTCAAGATACAGTTTAGAGGGGAGAGGTGGAAGGTTAGTTTCAGTTGCCAGGCTTGTATTTTTTGTGTGTGTGTCAGACCCAAAGCTAGAGGAGTTTCTGAAGCTGAAGGGCCTTTATGATTACATGCATCCTCATTGCATTTTGGTCCACCAGAGTGAAAATTTATGATTTCTTGTTTATTCTAAAGCCAAGAATATACCAGGTGATTTGCACAGGTAAGGAAGTTGTCATGGTTTAACCTGGCAGGCAGCCAAATACCATGCAGCCGCTCACTCACTCCTCCCCCGCCCCCCAGTGGGACGGGGAGAGAATCGGAAGGGTAAGAGTGAGAAAAACTCATGGGTTGAGATAAAGACAATTTAATAGAACAGAAAAGGGAAAATAATAATGATAATGATAAAATATACAAAATATACAAAATAAGTGATGGACAATGCAATTGCTCACCACCCACGCTGACCGATAACCAGGTAGCGATCGGTACTTCCTGGATCACGCCTACCATTCATACACTGAGCATGACGTCACATGGTATGGAATACCCCATTCACTCTTCCTCCTCACACTAAATCCAAAACACAGCACTAGGAAGAAATTTAACCCTATCCCAGCCAAAACCAGGACAGAAGTACATGCTTTCTGCAACAAAAAATAGAGAATGACTTGTTCTCAAAAGACTTGCATCATCTTTAAATCTTCAAAGACCACACAGAAAACATTGTGGATGTGGAAACTGAGAGATGACTTCACTCTAAGCTGAACCCAGAAATTTTACTCTCAGCCTACCTATAATAAAATTATTACTTACTCTAGAACTAGAGATTGGCATGCTTTAAGGAGCTACTAACTGGTGACTACAGATTAAATTGTGTCTTCTTCAGAAAATGTAGGAAATCTTTCATTTACGACAGAAAAGAATGCAGTCACTAGTATTGATACTTTTAAAATGGAAATATTGCGTTAGTTTGCTCATTAAAAGAAGTTAAGTAATGCTAATTATTCACAGGATTTTCCATATGTACGTACAGGAGATCAGATGAAATATAAAGCAAGCATACAGTATTTACATGAATATAAGATTAAATTATAAATTTGTACATTTTCATATTATATTTCTGGATCTGAACATGAGGAGGATGAATTGGTATCAGTGGTTACTTGTGTAGCTCGTGGGTAATGCTCATCACCAAGATAGAATTTAACAAATGGTTTGTTCTGGGGTTTTTTTTTTGTTATTTGTTTGTTTGTTTGTTTGTTTTACAGAGGCGTTCAGACAGATTTGTCCGTTTGGAATTGGCATCCTTGTTGGACCTGGTGACGCAAGACTGGGTAAGTGCCTGAACTGCACGATGCCGTTGTTGCATCAGTATGCCATTTTCTACCCATAACCCATTCTCCCTTTCAATTGAGAATAACACCTCTGCAACTATTTCCAAAAGCCATGAATTGTGGAAACTTCTATACATTTTTTTTCAATTATTTATACCAATTTTAAATTGAATATGTCATATCAGAAATTAAACTTCTTTTAGAGTAGCATATTTGGCTTTTTAATTTGTGCTGAGCAAACTTGCTAGGAAACTTATGTAGGATCTAGAGAATGGATCACATAGCATACCTGTATTTTCTTATACAATATATGTAGCCTGTTTACAGTAAATGGTTTTAATCCTCCAGAAGTGCAAACCGCAGTTTCCCAGATCCCTTCAGTACATTCTGTTCTCTCCCAAAACAAACAGCACTTCAGCCTTATTGGCAAAAGTTTTAATTAAAGGAGCGCTGGATGACTACTGCTTTTCATATCTGCTCCTCTCCCTGTAGCCCCAGTTGGAGAGGTTTTTAATCTGACATTTAAAATCAGTTTCTTTTCTGCATTCTGAAAGCTGGCCTGCAAGACAAATTCTGTGCCCTTGTCCTAATATATAAAAATTCAAATATTAGTATTTTTTTGTGATCTCAGGAATATTTCTTGCCAGAACACTTGTTCTTTGAGAGAAGTCTAAAAGCACATGAGATCAATTGCACTTACTGTGTTATTTGTATTTCTGGTTAAGATGTGGATGAGTGCCTTGATCCAGATAACTGTAAATTTGGGCAGTGTATCAACACAGATGGGTCTTTCCGCTGTGAGTGTCCGTATGGTTACATCCTACAAGGAGCTCAATGTGTGGGTAAGTATAGCTGTTCCATATTCCATTTTAAAGAATCTCCTGAATTGCTAAGTATGGCATTAAGGAGTAGTGGGGTTATATTATTCTAATGTGGAGTCTCCATCCCCACTGGTGCTTAAAACCTGCCAGGGCAGGGCAGGAGCAATCTGCTCCAAGCTGGTCCTGCTCTGGCTGAGCGTTTGGTCCAGATAACCTCTAGCGAACTCAAATTATGCTAGGACTCTGTGACTCTAATTCAGTAACTTAAGTGAGTTCCTGGATTTTGTATTTTTGTATTTTTTGGTTGTACATCAACAATGTAGATTTTATAGCTTTTTGGTTGAGTATAACCGTGTATTCTTGCTTTGATTTAACTGCTTGCAGATACTGATGAATGTGCTGTTGGAAACCCGTGTGGAAATGGAACTTGCAGGAATGTAGTGGGAGGTTTTGAATGCACCTGCGTTGAGGGATTTGAGCCTGGACCGATGATGACCTGTGAAGGTGAGACTCCCATGTGTTAAGCACTGTCATTGTAGTTGTTTTCTGATTTTGGAAACAATCGAGGAGAGTAAAGCAGCTTAAAAAGAAAAATATGGACATTCAGAACAGCGCATCTTTATCTCAAACAGAAAAATAAGTTCCTCCTTCCTGTATCCACCTTGAACTGTGGTACCTTTTTCTATCTGGAGATTGGGTGAACAGGCCTTCAGGTAGTATCTGCTAAGGGACTGCCCGTAGAGGAGCATGTTGGGTATGGTCTCTCCAGAACAGTCCCCAGAAATGCTGCTTACTGTGTGTATGGTTTTTGCTTACCTCCTAGACAACCCTTGAGTGAAGAGAGTCACTGTGGATGATGAAAATATAAAATGGGCTGCTTGGGTTTGTTAGGGAACAAAACAGAAGATATAAATACAGTAATAGACAATTACCATGGTACCCCTATGTTGAATATTTTTCATGTTTTGGTCTCTCATTTCAAAAATAAACATTTGAAAATGCACAAAGAAGGGAAGAGTAAGGAAGATCAGAGTTATAGAGGGGACATGTAGAAAATTAATTAGACGAGAATTTTTCAGTGTGGAAAATGTGTTTGAGGGGATGATTCAAATTTATAAAGTCACAAGTGGTAAAGGTACCAAAAATAGAGGGAACATGTTAGACAAACGAAAGCAAACATTTTTATATGCATAGTACTTACTTAAGTTGTGGAACTCTTTGCTGCAGAGTATTATTGAGGCCACAAGTATAAATTGACCCAGAAAGAGATTGTACAAATTTATGTGGGAATCCATCAGTGGAAATTAAGCTTGATAGTTTGGTTGTGGCTTTTGGCTGTGGAAGTCCTTAAACTGAGAGGCTGTATCAGGGGAAAAATCTCTGCATACATGGTATGGGTTTTTTTAATACTCTTCTCCTCCTGTTACAACCAGAGAGAGGAGAATGTCCTAGGACATTCTGACACTTTCTTCTGACCTGACACAGCTGTTCTTAAATTATCTGCCACAATCTATTTGTTTGCAAGCCCATACAAAAGAATGCTTCTATTTTTGCATCAGCTTGCATTAGTTTTATATACAGTTAGAGCTTCATTCACTTCCCTGTGGAATTTGGGTGAAAGCTCGAATTGCAGAGGAGGAGTTAGCAAAGTGCATAGACATAAATTATATAGTAGTAATTACTCAAGTAGCCCAGAGCGTATGTAAATGCACTTCAAAATAATGTTTCTAGTAAGGATATTGTTTTATGGAATTCAGTGTACGAAGCAGCTGAATTAGTGCATCTAAAATTTAAAAATAACCAGTCATAAAGCCTGAGCCTAGATGTGGAAAAGATACAGTTTTACCTCAGACAGTATTTTGGCAGCATGGATCTGGAAATTATTTCCATTGGCTGCTTGCCGTTGAAGATATTGAAACTTCAGGTAGCTGTGCAAACATCCTGGCATGTCTGGTGCCTGCTCCTATACAGAAATCCATGATGAGTAGAACCATGGGTCCCCAAATATTAAAATTTAGCCCTCGGTAAACTGGGATCTCTGGTATCACCCGTACCTAAAACCTATGCACTTAAATCTGCTGAGTTTTACAAAAGCATGTTTCACTTCCCCCATGGTCTTTGTCACTCCAAATCCAGATGTCAACGAGTGCATTCAGAACCCTCTGCTCTGCGCTTTCCGCTGCGTGAACACTTTTGGATCCTATGAATGCAAATGCCCCACGGGATACGTTCTGCGAGAGGACCGGAGAATGTGCAGAGGTAAAGCTCCTACCAGACTCTTGCAGTTATGAGATAATGATTTCAAGTTCCTGCAGGGGTAGGCCTCTGACTCACTGCACTGTTGGGCCAGAGTTTTAATCCCAGGAAGTAACTGAGTCAGAAAGAATTTGGGATTAAATTCTATGGTTTGCATTATGCAATTGATTGTATTAAGTCTGCCCTGCCCATAAACTTATACATCTGCATAATGTGAGGTCATATCAGATGATACAGTTTTGTCTTGCCCTGAAAATGGGCATTTGGGAGAAATCAATTTGCTCTAGGCTAGTATATCTTATGGTTAGTTTAGCACAATAAAATTATGTGTAGAGTTTGATTACAATTGAAATTCCAAAGTCAGAATTTACTATTGTGAATTTCCAGGATCGTCTCTCTATATAGTGAAGTCTAAACCTTGTGTTTTAGATCAGAATGAGTGTGAAGAAGGAATTCACGACTGTGACTCAAAACAGATGGACTGCAAAAACCTAATTGGCACCTATATGTGTATCTGTGGACCAGGTTATCAGCGCAGACCAGATGGGGAAGGTTGTATAGGTAAGTGACACTGAAGTGTTGAAGCTCTTGAAACACACAGTTCCTCAGCAGAGCTGAAAATTTTGGATTTAACAAAGTGTTAAGGAACTCAGAGGAGGAATTACACAACTACCTGTGTAATGGATCTACCTGTGCTATACGCACTTTGCTTCACTGTTCAGGTGTGCACACATGTCGGCAGCAAGTAGAAAATCTGGATGTGCCTGTCTTTACAATCAGTTTGTACTACTGCTGATGAATTGCTCTGAGTGAAGAAAGCAGAGAATTGGGCCCATTGCTGTAAGCTTGTTTATCTCTGTTAGCATGAATGAGAGTAAATCTGAATTGTTTTAAAACTTTGGATGGCATTCAGAAGTGCAGCTGTAACTATGAAAAATTTTGAAAACCAGTGAGGAATATATTGCAGAGAAAACGTAGTAACAAAATATATAATATTGTGAGCTAGATGGTCATCTTTCCTCTGAAAATTGAATATGAGAGACCTTTTATTAAAAAAAAATTATGCAAGTTTAACCAGGCAGAATGCACAGCTTAAGAACTCCATACAAACTTCTCTAACCTGCATTAATGCACTTAATGGACTTCATTTTTGTCATATCATTTAAAAAACACAGATGAGAATGAATGTCAGACCAAACCTGGGCTCTGCGAGAATGGCCGTTGTGTAAACACAGTGGGAAGTTACAGATGTGAATGCAACGAGGGATTCACTGTCAGTGACACCCAGAACGAATGCCTTGGTAAGTCATTAACACCCTAATGAACTATAACTTTGGTAGCAGAAACTGTAGTTGAACTTAAACTTAGAAATGTATAGTGAGTAAATATACTCTTGAATTTACATGCCTTTGGGAAGGGACCTTTTTAAGTAGGTGCCCTCCTGCAAGTTCATTCTTCCCATGCTAACCATTTGCCTACTGCAGTCAGTCCAGTTGGGTTGACTTGCTATGAAAACTGACTGTTCGGTGGTTTCAGTCAGACGGGAATTGCTCTGCCTTTTCTTTGGTCCTGATCTCAGCCAGTCCTTTTTCTCTGCGTTCAAACAGAAATGTGCATTTTTATAAGCATAATTTAACTTGTCTTCCACCTTTTGCTAAATCTCCTGTTGTCTTTGTTTCCCTTAGACGTTGTGCTCTCTTTCTTACTGCTGGTAGTCTTTCACTCTCAGTTCCACAGTCCCAGGGTGAAGTATGCCCTTTCTTTTATATTTCTGACTAAATTCCTAATATCTCATGACCCTCTGGAGGTCGTCACCATTAGGATTCTCTGTGATGCATAATTTGTCTTCCAGACAACAGGGAGGGTTACTGCTTCACTGAAGTCTTACAAAGTATGTGTCAAATCGGATCAAGCAACAGGAACTCTGTCACCAAGTCTGAATGCTGCTGTGATGGTGGCCGAGGCTGGGGGCAAAACTGCGAGGTCTGCCCCTTCCCAGGCACCGTGGCCTTCAAGAAGCTTTGCCCTCATGGCCGAGGATACATGTCTAATGGAGCAGGTACTGACTTCTATTAAAGGCCCTCTTACACAATGTCAAATTCAGTGATAAATTATAAACTCTTTTCTTTTTGCATATTTGAACACTGTGAGGCCCTAAATATTTTGGGTATCAGTTGGAATTTTCTGAAAGTTTTCATGTTGAGAGAGTATAGTCCTTTGGGAGGAGGGTGCATAGCCAAAGGCATCCATCCCAACTTGGCAGATATTATTTTGCATGCTGGTTGACTGACATGCACTCGAATGGGAATTTGCACTCTCGTTTGAATGTGTTGTAGGTACAGATTAAGAGCTATTTGTGTACGTGAAAGCAAAGTGATGTTTGATTTATGGAGGCTAATGTATGATCAGCTCCAGTTGTTCGCTTCCACTTAACACTTGTTCGTTGCATTTGAAAGTTAGATTAAGGCTCCGTTCCGTATTTTTCCACTTACTATTTCTCTCCTTAATCTGTACAATATTTCATTATTTTATGTAATTTTTTTATTTTATGTACAGTGTGGGTTTTTTTCATGTCAGGTCACAAGAATCTATTGAAGCTGTATAAAGTCAGTTCTTGTTCCATTGTGAACTAACCCTTATTTAATTGCAGATATTGATGAGTGCAAGGTTATTCATGATGTCTGCCGTAATGGGGAGTGCATCAATGAGAGGGGATCTTATCGTTGTCATTGCAACCTTGGCTATACTACAGATATAACTGGCACTCTTTGCATAGGTAGGTTTTTCATTATATTGTGTGTATATGAAGTTTATTACTTTACTAAGAGATGACTGGAAGAAGGAAATACAAAGATTTTGAAAAATGAGAAAAGAAAATGCCATTTGTTAGAATGCTTTGGGGATTTTGATTTCCTTCTGATATTTCCTGAGCATTTTGAAAAACATTATCACAGATCTTGGTTGTCAGCACTGAGGTATCTGGTTTTGCTGCTTCTAGATCTGAATGAATGTAATGAGTCCCCAAAACCTTGCAATTTCATCTGCAAAAACACAGAGGGGAGCTTCCAGTGTTCGTGTCCGAAAGGGTACATCCTGCAAGAAGATGGGAGAAGCTGCAAAGGTAAAAATCAAGAAAAGAATTTACTGCAGAAACGCTGTGTTTCACAGGCAAATACCAATCCAAGGACATTTAAATGATGTAAATCTGTCTCCTTGATTCATGTGAGTATTTCCGTTAAAGACAGTGTAAGTGGCCTGCACAGGATGGAGCTGGTGTTTCAGTTAGTTCTTTGATAATCTGGATGAACAGTAGATCCACAGGAATTTTTGCAGGCTGATGGCAGCTGATCTTAAAAGACTTCGTAACCAATAGTATGTATGATTGGTCTTATCTTGGTAAGCATGTTTGTTTAAGTTGTATTTTTCAGTGATAAATGTATCTTAATGGATACCAAGATGAGCATGGTTTGCAGTGCATTATCCAGCATCAACAGAGTTTTAACCTACCACCTCTGCAGCATGCTGAATAAGGAACAGCAGTGCAGGAGAGATTTTGAAATGTTCATTACAATTTCATTTATTTATGTATCTTGGTAGCAAAGATCTGACTGAAACCGCACAAGTTAGAGCAGCAATTCTAAACCTGGCATGGGAAATGACATTGTACTTTGTCATTAGCATTTAAATGTTTCTTTTGGAGTAATAGCATGCTTCAGTGCAATACCGCTTTGCAATTGGCCACTGCTTCTCATGAAGATGGTGACTTCCTGTTTATTGACTGCAGTGAGAGCAGACATTTATTATGTAACAGCATCTTTCCGGCAGATGAGAGTGAAGTCTGTAGCGTGGACACTAGTGTAGCTCTGAAGTCCCATTCATTACATGTGGGGCTTCATGTGAGACGAACTGGAAGCCAGCATGGAAAGTGAGACGTAGATTCAAAAGGCTTTATTTGATACATTATTTATTTGCAATCACTTCTCTCCAAGTCCAGCCAAACTGTCAGATCCTCCACAGGGAACATAAATGAAAGATGTTTTCTTGGCTTTTTTAGATCTTGATGAATGTGCAACAAAGCAGCACAACTGCCAGTTCCTTTGTGTCAACACTATTGGGGGTTTCACTTGTAAATGTCCTCCTGGATTCACTCAGCACCATACAGCCTGCATTGGTAAGTGCCGTGGGAATGTAGACACAGATTTGGGATTTATTACTGAGTCTTATTCCAGAAGCAAAGTAGCAAGGAGGTGAAATCGGCTTCCTGAGAAACCAAATGGAAACAGAGGCCAGGTTCTGATCCCAGTCCCACCAGAGCAGAAGATGCAAAGAGGCCCTCCCTCCTACCTTCCCTTGTTTTCATAATCTCTGTCTTTGAATTTTGCACTTGAAAGAATCAGACAGTAAAACCACCAATTTGTAATTCTTGCCTTACCCTTTCTTACTCTTTGAGCAAAAAACCAGTTATGTTTCTGTTCTTGTAGTTCTGTTCTTATAGGACCTGCATTAGAGATCGTGTCAAGGCTTCTTTAAACAATAAGCATGAAACATACATTTCTGCAGTTGTCCTTTAAACACATACCCATTATGTCTGTGGAAATGTTCAACAAAACTACTTCCTGCAAAACACTATTTCTGCTCTGCAAGTTGGATCTTGCTTGTGGCAGTCTGATAATCCTGTGGTATTGATGTGAATTTGGGGGTGTTTGAAGACTAGAACATCATACTCCATATTCTTGGTGAAGAAAAGGAGTGTTTCCCTCCCCATAGCTCTTGTCATCTTTTCAAATGAAAAGAAGGTAATGTAAGCTCTCCCTCTGTAGTGCAAAGTAAAAAAATGGAGAGGGGAGTACGACAGCTACATTACTGATGTTGCTTTACCTCTTGTCACAAGTTGTTCATTGTCAGCATTGCTAAATGATCATCTTCACAACAAGGAATAAAAAGTAACACTCAGGTTTTGGTTTCCTTCAGATAATAATGAGTGTGCTACTGAAATCAATTTATGTGGAGCGAAGGGCATTTGCCAGAATACACCAGGAAGTTTTGTTTGTGAGTGTCAACGTGGCTTCTCACTCGATCAAACCGGGCTTAGCTGTGAAGGTAGGTACAACACACAGCACATTTAACCTGGCCTCCTCTTGCTTTCCTTCATCTTCTCTCAGCCATACTGTCATCCAAGCAGGGACCTATGGAGTAAGTACCAAAACCTATGGATTGAAGATGGATGTAGATTGAAGGGGTGTGGGGTATAGAAATTTAGCAACAAGGCAGTATTTCTCTCCATGGGCCTGAATAAATATATTGTAGGATGATAAAGAGCTGGACAGATACTTTCTGAGGAGAATTCAGTTTAGCCTGGAATGTTTTAGTTTAAGCATCGTAAGCAAAATTCTGTTGAATCCTGCATGGATTTCTGAGGGACTCACCAAGGACAGGAAGTCTTGCATCTCCGAGGTGACCTGCTAAAGAGAGAGTTCAAGGACTGCAGACTTTATTCCTCTGGGTCCCTAGAGCCTCTAGAGCCTTCTCCTGGGGTAGAGTTTGGTCTGCTTTGAAAAGAGATATCCTGGGATTCTTGGGTTGGATGCTTGGGTAACGGCAAGGGATTGTCTGCTGTGGAGCTTGGGAGCCTTAGGAAAGCCTTGGGGGTCCCATATACAAATGGCTTTCTGCTCTCTGCTCCATAGCAGAATGCAAAAACCCTGAAAATTGTGACTGAATTTGAGCTTTCAGTGATTTTCAGCTCTAAGTTACTTGCTGTGGAGTCAGAAATCCAACCCTGAAAACCCCAAAGTGGTCTCCCAGCACTGGTCAGGTTTTTGGAAGATCCTGAAATATACCTCTCTATATATGATATATGAATATATATGGTTATTTGTAACATACTTTTCAAATATACCATAATTTGAGCTTCTCTCCCAAAACTCAGAGTGTATCTCACCTTTTTAGATGTTGATGAGTGTGATGGAAACCACCGGTGTCAGCATGGCTGCCAAAATATAATTGGAGGATACAGGTGTAGCTGCCCACAGGGATATCTCCAGCATTACCAATGGAACCAATGTGTTGGCAAGTCACTCTTTTAAATTCATACATTAAAATGCATGTTACCTTTGTTAGCAGCAAGAAGTGAAGGGCAATGGTGCAGTTTGCCATATTTTCTTTTTCTGATTATAATTTAGTAAGTTCAGCAGAGTTTCATTACAAATGTGCGCTCCTGTGAAAGGCAAAGTGGATAAGAAGCACCCAGTAGCCTATGTCCTGGTTCAACAAGTGTTTAAGCACAAAATTATCCTTGAGGGTGCTAGAAGTTGTATTGACTTTGAGCGAACTTGAGTTACTCGTGTATTTTGTGGTCTGAACAAAGGAAGTCTTACTCAGCCATGCAACAGTCTCTGCTCAGACACAGGTCCTTGTCTGAGAGCTGATGGTGGGTTGAACCTAGCAGACTTAGAACCACAAGTTTGGATTGTTAAATTGTAAAATGAAACTTCTGGCCCAAAGCATCTAAAACTCTATTAAAATCTTGCTTGATCTGTGCTTTTATCATTCTTACAACACCTACAAGGCAGCTGCCTTTTCTCTGTACAGAGTTAACCACTTGTCATATTTGAGCAAAGCTGCTGCTATCTGTCTAAAGATGTTTCCTTGCAGCTTTGGGATACAGTTTATAACAAGTGCTTACAGGACAATTTTGATTATAAATAACAAATGCTAGTGCTCTTTTTTTATGTTAAGAAGTAAATACACTGGTGAATTAAAATGCGTATTTCTTCTCCATCTAAACTTTGGTTCTACCCCAGGTCTCTGAGCCCTTGTAGATGGGGTTGTGTGTGCAGAGCACTGGTGCTGCATATGACTTCAGCAGACAGAAGTGGGTCCTCTGCAGAAGTCATGGGAAAAGTCTCTGTACATTTCAGCAGTGTAGCACGTAGCATATTCAAACAAGAGGAACATGAATCTTTTTTCCTCTAGTGACAATAATGTGCGTTTTTAGTCACGTTTAATGGGCTTCATACAAGCTAGTCTTGTGTGGATACCCAGAGATGTGTTTGATGACCTCTTCGAGAATGAAGGGCTTCATAACTCTTTGGCTTTTTTTGCTTTCAGAAACATAAAAATGCCTTTGGTTGTTATCACTGTGGTGCTCTAGGGAGGTCTCTGCTTTTAATTATGCTTACCAAACCTCCTGACATTTTATGCAGTCCTTGCTGTGATGTTTGCTTGCTATGCCTGTAACATACAAGAGAACAAGGAGGGAGTACAAACTTATGGTGGTTTTGAATATTAATTAAACTAGCAGAGCTTAGGGTTAAATTAGATTTTAATCTGCAGGAGGGTAAAATAAAAAAACAGCACTGCCATGTCTGGCTGCTGGAGGACATTGTGGAATCTGAAAAAGTGCAGCTCTCGGTTTTGCAAAACATCTTGGCTGTTTCCAAGTCTTCCTGGGTGATAACATTTAACTAAGTATATTTCCAAACCAGGTGTACACTGTTATTCCAGCTTTTGAGCCCATTGACTACTGTTCAGATTTTATACAGGGAATATCAGTTTCAAAATGCACAAGCACTGCTATTTCCCCTACTGAAAGAAAGGCTTCAACCTCGGCACCACGAATACTGATCACCAGAAACTTCACTACACAAAATTACACTGAGAGCCACAACTGGGGAAAGACTCAGCTAGCACTTCCACCTTCTTGGACATGGGGCAGTCCAGGCAGCAGCCCAAAACTGCAGGGAAGGAGGCTTTGGTTTCCTCTGTCCTCATGGCATCTCTCCTTCAAAGCTGAAGCTGAGCATGACAGAGCTGCGTGTTGCAGAGCACAGGAGATCAAGACTGGTGCCTGACAGCACAGCTCGCGCAGAGTCCGAGGCTCCCGTAACTGTTTTTTTCACTTTTCTTCATGTTTTTTCTTCCAACAATCACCTAAAATAAGGAAACTAACCTCACTAGTGTCCACACTCTTGCTGCTATGGAGTGAGGCGAAGTGAGCGTCTCTTCTCTTGGTGCAGTAACTTTCTGTGGCCCAAATGTGCTTTTATGATGTTGATATAATTGCTGTTAGGTATGACAAATATTGAAACATTGCTCTAAGTTAATGGCAAAACTCCTACAGGCTTTGGTGACAATAGAATTCAGCCCCAGGTTTTAATACCTTGTTCACATTGTAACGTCTGTAACTGTATATGATAGATATTTATCTAGATCTCCTGGGTGTACCACAGGGGAAGAATCCATGTAGTAGGTTTTTCTGTGACAATTCCTTCATATTCCTTGGCAATCCCAACTCTGCAAACAGTTTGTGTCTCTTTTAGCTTATTTAATGAAGTGTTCAGGGACTTTTGATGTTACTGCATATTTAGATAATCACTGAAGAATGCTTTGGTTCCTCCCTTGTCTTGTGCTGTGTGTGACTGCATCCCCTGCCCAGGCAATTCTGTAGTGCACCATGCCATAAATCAGACTGCAAGAAGCAAAGGCATTGCTTTTAAACAAAGAACAAACAGTCACATTGTTTGGAAAAAGACAATAATGTTCTGAATTAGTACTTATTCTCCTGTAACCTGGATGCTTGGGTCAGAGATGCTGCCCTGTGCTTTACATTTCATCTATACAGTGTTCAAATGGCATTTCTTATGCACGTGCACACAGATGCAATGTGCATGTGCAGTTGCTTTATCACAGAAAACAGGGAACAATAGCATTCAGAACGTTTCAAAGCAATTTGCCACATCAGACAAAAAAATTCGGACCAGCTACATTTAAAAAACCAGTTAAAAAACGATTTACAGTAAACAAGCCTGAACTGACCTCAAACTCCTACAGTGCTGCACTTGGGAAGTTTGGAAAAGGGCTGGCTCAGAGCGTGGCAGTCTTTTGTATCTACAGCTGCTTTTATTTTTACTTTACTACTTGTTCCTGTACCTTACCTGTACCTCCTATTTAAATGTGAATGTGTAGAGAGGGATTTTCAGTGCCTGGAAAAGGTGTCAGAGCTTGATTCCTTACTATTTTTCCTTCAATGTTGAATAGCATTATGAACATGGGATTACTGGACCAGATTGTTGGCTGTACGAAGTTTTATTCTTCTCAGTTGTTTCTGGAACAAAAAAAAAGTTGCTTCCTCTGCTTTTCTGCTCTCCAGAGCATGAGCTGACATGGCATGAAACATCTTCTGTAGAGTAGCCCAAATGTTGCTCTGTTGTATGGCTGTAGTCATCTCCTAGCGACTGCTGCCCTAGCCAAGGGTGGGGCCAAGCCTTGTTCTCCGTTTCTGTCCATCGGATGTGGCAGCATGTTTAGCAACAGTCAGGCACGATCCTTCTGAAGGGGTAGGCTGAACTAGGCCTGAGAGTAAAAGTTAATGTGGTATGTTCTGCTTCTTTTCCAGATGAAAATGAATGTCTCAGTGCACACATTTGTGGAGGAGCATCTTGCCACAATACTTTGGGAAGCTATAAATGTATGTGCCCTACCGGATTTCAGTATGAACAGTTTAGTGGAGGTTGCCAAGATATCAATGAATGCGGTTCTGCACAAGCCCCATGCAGTTATGGTTGTTCAAATACTGAAGGTGGCTATGTCTGTGGATGTCCACCTGGTTACTTCAGAATAGGACAAGGGTAAGGGATTCTCATTTTAAACTAACAGACATAAAGGGGACATAATCCGCTCCCTTCTCTGTAGTGTGGAGCAGCAGAACCAGGGGGATTGTCACCAGTGAAAGAGGGATAGGATTGTGGAGGTGCTCGAGTTGGATGCACCTGCTGATTTTGGAGATGAGGGAGGGGAAAAGTAACCAAGGGAAGGGAGCAATGTGGTTTTAATGCTTAATGAAATTTGGTCAGGGCTACCAGGTTCAATCATCTCTTTTAAGCTACTGCTTGCACCTCTCCTGCATACCCCAGCAGCTAGCCAAGTTCTCTGAGCTTGTCACTTGGGAGCTTACACCCCTCATTATGATTTGTGGTGTATCACTTGTCTCCTTTAAAAAAAAAAAAAAAAAAAACAAAAAAAACCCACCCCTGACAGCTCCAAAGACAAATGATATTATACAAGTGGCTTCACCCACTGGTTGGAATAACAATTCTGTATGCTCTTATGTTCTTGTATGTTCCATATTCTTCTGTGTTCCAAAGTAATCATTTTTTGAATAAATGTCTGCTTTATCAGGAAAAACAATTTTCACTTGCACCAGTGGGAGTGTTAGGGCTGTGCATCATGTAGGACCAAGCAACTCAAATGGAAAGCAGAAAGATTATGGCTTAAATTTTAAAGTGACTAAAAGCTTTGGGATAAAAGACCTCGCTTTTCAGATTTTTCAGCAGTTTCTGAAAATTGGTCTCATTCTATGTGTTCCAGGTTGGATGGCAGAAATTACTAACAACTTCTCAGAGCTTAAGCCTGTGTTTTTAAAAACTGTTAAATATAGGCAGGTCTCTCTTAGGCGAAGCCTCATGGAGCCAGGTTCTTGAAATTGGCGGTAGCTGCATTGTGATTCAGTGAGAATTTTCCCTGTTGACTTCAGCAGAAATTTTTCCTAGGAAATGAGTGCAACATAATTGCCTTATTATTTGTATTCACAGTCCCCCAAATTCAGCTTTTGATAAGATCTATGTCTCATTGGAATTAATTTTGAATTTCTTTCTTCCTCAGACACTGTGTTTCTGGAGTGGGGCTAGGCAAAGGTCAAGGACAAGAGCTTTCACTCAGTGGAGAAGTAGATGACAACTCCCTTTCTCCAGAAGCTTGTTATGAATGTAAAATCAATGGCTATCCCAAGAGAGGAAGGAAGCGCAGAAGCACTAATGAAACTGCAAATGAAGCAGAGGTAATTGACTCTTTTTGGGGGAAAGGGTTTGTGGTTGTCTTGTGAAAGCCAGTCTGAGAAGGAGGTGTGCCAAGAGACAATCCCACAGGAAAAATATACACCCCAAACAAAGTAGACCAAAGAACTGGTTTTGGATGTCAAGCAGTCTGTGTGGGGGCTTTCTGAAGTTGTTCACTGTCATTAGGCAAAGGTCATCCTCTGAAGCCCCTGCATACCTAATACCTATGTCGCATCAAACACTAAAATAAATGCCCATCCAGCTGCCTAGAGAGCAGTCCACTCACCAGCAAAGCAGGCTCTTGATGTCAGAGGATGGCAGGTATGTAAAACGTTTGTGTGACCTTGTCTTCAGAAAGGCAAGACACGTTGGTTGGGATGGATGTGGACCCTGCCAAGCAGCGCCATGTTGTGTGTCTGGGGCTGGAGCCCTCTCCAAAGCAAACACAGAGCTCTGGACACGAACACCTCACCTGGAAGGGAGTCCAGGGCTGCAGCCCTTCCTGGGGCTTGTCCAGACCTTTGCAGTCAGTCACCCAGGTTGCCGTCCTGGAGCCGAGGCTGCCAGCAAGGCCGCTCACAGTGCTCACCACTGGCCCAGTCAGCAGAACAGGAGGCAGAGCTTCATTTGTCATTGCTAGGAAGTCGTTGGGGACAGAGGCAGGTTTCCATTTGCCTCCGAGTGTGTCAGTGAAATGCTTATCTGTTGCGATGCTCACACAACTCCACTTCTTCCTAGCTGTTGTCATTGGCTTTTTTTTATTAACCAAATATTAATAAGTGGTTTCAGCACTTATATTTACATGAAAACTAGTCTGCTGTGCGACAAGTTTTGTCTTTATGCAAAGCATAGGCATCTCTTTTCACTCATCCTTGGGGGAGGTATTTTCCTTTAGTTCTTAGCAAATGTTTCTCTTAGCAAACATTTCTCAAAAAAGCTTTAAAGTAAATCCTTCACCAAATTCCCCCTGCTGGGGTTTGTTCTGAATTGATCACAACAGTGAAACACAATGGGATGGAAGGTGGTTGTAATTGTTTGTTCTTCAGCTGGGCTTCCAGTACCACACGTCCCAGTATGAGTGCAGAAGTCCTGATAGAAGCATGGTCTTGTAATTTGTGATGTTCCTATAGTCCCTCTTGCGCAAAATTCAAACTCCTTGCATTACCTAGGGAGTCCCACATGGGCTTATTTCAACTTCTTGTAATACAAAGTCAGAATTGTCCAGTCTGGTCATCCAATCCAATGTCCAGCACAAGTCAACTGGATTTAAACCTTATTGTTCACATTAATTATATGCAGACTTCAGCAAACTGTAAACAGCTTGTAGGAGAAGTGTCACCAAGTCCACAGTCATTTGACTTCTCACTTCTTCATCCAGTCTAAGATGACAGTGATGTTACAGGTGAAGGGATCTGCCCTGACCTGGCCAGAGAAGCAGCAGGTCACGGCAGGTCTCTAGCGTGTGCAAGTATTTGTCATTCAGCTGAAAGTATGTGTCTGGGTATGCAAATGTGTGTGTTGCATTCTAAATATAACCAAGAGGCACTGAACAGTCTTGTAAAAGGTGCTTAGTGTGTGGCGCTCTGCTAATACGGGAAGACAGGAGAGTGCTTTTGCCCAGGAGAGTGTGGATATTTGATTTTGCGCAGAGTGGGGTCATAAACTGTGTTTCTTCAGTGTGTTTCAGTACTCTCTGTGATTAGTGCTGGATTTGTCTCAGAGGTGACGTAGAGCTTCCCTTGCTTTCCAAATGAAAACGTTACAGCTGATGTGCTGTCTGAAATGTTACCATTCTGCCGCTGCAGCGTGACTCATGCACAGGGGACTCAGGGAGCCCAGTTACCATCACTTGGAGGTGAGGGGCGATGCTGCTTTTCCAGCACCCCGCTGCACCCATGGGCCATCCCGGCTCCACACCTAAACAAAGTGAATCTTGCAAAGCAGAAAACTGCCACCCAAATGACGTGCCTCCCCCACAGACTCTGCTCGCTTCTTCACATCATTGTTCACGTTAGCTTGTGGCTCCCCTGATAGAGAGCAGGAGTCTGCCTTTAGAATCATAGAATCATAGAAT